TGGTAAAATATAAGGATGCTCATGCGATGACTAAGGTGCTTTATGAATTCCTTTCTGGCCTGCAACTCCTCCATTCTTCTCATTGGGGTTCAAATTGTAGGATGCGGATTCCTTTGTGGTTTTAACCCCTTGGTTCTGTTTCTTTGCATTCACCCCCCTATTCAACCTCTGGGCCAAGTTTCCAGACAACAGAAAAACAGTTTCTTCTCATAGAAATCTCCCTTCCCCTGAAATACTTGATTGCAAATATATTAGGAAATTCCACCTTTAAGAGAAACAGGGCACCGGAGTCTCCCCATTTTGAGGGCTCAGGCATTCCAGCACCCCAGGAGAAGAGCAGAGCGCACCCCGATCTCAGGACGTGGCACCTCCCCTCCCACACACACCCTTCTCGCTCTGTGGACGAGGGGGCCCTGCTGCCAAAGGCTGCGGTTCTCTGCTCACAGCTGGAGGGCGGCCTCGCTGAACAAGGTGATCGATTCTGAGGCCTGTAGCCTGAATGACCTGCTCCTTCATTGTTGACGGAGTGTCAAAGCAAAAACATTTTATTAACTTGATTCCCACGACCAGCGTTCTCCCTTGCCCAGTTCTTCACGGGAACTCTCAAGTCCCTCGTCCTCTCTGAAAAAAATTTCCTTGTCATTTATCACTCTTCTAGAAAGAAAACATGTTCTCATTTTGCCAGCACCCGGGGAGGCCAGGGCAGTAAAAGAGAATGTTTATGCAACGTCTTGGCTGCTCTCAGAAGGGGCACGGGAGGGAGGGGGTGTGGCCAGGCCACTTAGAAGCGGGGGAAACTGGAAGAGGGAAACACACGGATTTGCTTGGGAGCCGACCTACTGAAGTATCCACGGGAAATTCCAACCCAAGTTAATCCTACAAAAAATCACCCTTCCCGACCTAACCTGGGGACTGCGATCGGTACTAAACACACCACGGGCCTGGGTCCCAAAGACGCATGCAGTTCGACGCAGCCGTAGGATGGCACTGCTGACGGGAGAAACGACCGGTTCTGCTGTTTCCCCCTCTACTGCTGTGTCTGCCATTTCGCAGACCTTCCACCGGCCCTCGGAAGCGACTGAGGCTGGGACACGAATCTGACCGCAGCGACAATACATCCAACCACACCTATCTCCATTTTAAATATAATAAATACAGTGAAGAAAACAGTACGTCTTCCATAAGGAGTCTAAAGAAAAGACAGCCGGACACTCTGGGGTGTTTTGATCAAATGCCACATGGTCTCTGGATGAATTTCTCGAGGAGGTTGTAGTTGAGTTCATAGCTGTGAGTTCCCTTCTCAAGTGTAGCTCTCTCTAGATGGAAACTTCATACTCTCTGGTTTCCTGCAAGAGAGAGAAGCGTAGATCTATTGAAGCTGGTGCGGCAGAGTGATACATAGTTGGTTCTAGCTCTTCATCCCTCCCGTGTCCACAATGTTGGCCAGGAGACATTGCGGGGCTTTCTGCTCTGACCCTGACTTGCTTTGGCCGATGGGTTCTAAGGAGATGGGTCACGAGAGGGGCCTGAGAAGTGCTTGTGTGTTTCTGCGTGTGCCCTGCCCCTCTGCCATCACCATGAGCAGAGCATGCCTTGGTAGCCATTAGGCCCAGCCGAGAGGTGAAGGACATGGAGAACCGAGCTCAGTCCCCCAGCCAGTGACTAGCCAATCCCAGATGTGTGAGTGAGCACAGGCGAACCAGGCTACCGCCTAGCTGAAACTAGCCGGAAACGCTGCCTCGCAGACTGATGAGCAAATGAACGTGCTGCTTTGAGCGGTTGGGGGGACTGCTTGTTACGCAGCATGATGATAGTGTTAGGTAACTGATATACTGTTCTAATAAGTATCAACAAGGTCTGGTTTCTAAAGTGCTGTTTTTTCATCAGCTTGATTTTTTTAAGGTTTGGGAAACAAGCTACATGGAATGCAAAATAACATACGACCTCTTCTTACCAGGTCATATCTGAAATGACTGAAATATATATGGGTAGCAACTAGTTCAATTTCTCTGATGTTCATGGAGTGTGTGTGTAATGTTCTCCAGGCCCCCCGGGCACAGGAGCGGGGAGATATAAGGAACCATGGGCTGTGCCCCGGAAGAGGTCACCGTCACATGCTTTAATGGAAGTCTATGGTTTCTGCTGAGCCAACACAGATATACAATCATGCCTGTGCTTCATGGTATATGGAGTGTGGTGGGAAGACAACCACCTGCAAGGAGCTAAATGCTGCTGATAACCCTGTGAGCTTGGAGGGGGATCCTTCCCCAGTCAAGTCTCAGATGAGACCGCAGCCCTGACTGACACCTTGTGAGCCCTGAAGTAGAGACCCAGCTAAGCTGTGTCTGGACTCCTGACCTACAGAATCTATGACACAATACGTGTGTGTTATTTTAGACTCTAAATTTTTCAGTAACATTGCTACACATCAATGAATAACTAACACAGGAGGTCAGAAGAAGAGGTGGGTGAGGGAACATCAGTAAGGACAAGGAACAAGTCGAGTTTATGCTGCCCAAATGCTGAGAGGTGGTTGTACATCATTACACAGTGAATTTGAAGGGTTGTGATTTTTCAGAGTCATGACTAATCTTCTGGTTCCTGCCCTGTGCCTCAGGCCTTTGCATGGGCTCTCTCTTCTCCCTGGCATCTTCTATAGCCACCATCTAAGTTCTACTCACCTTACGTGGCTTAGCTTCACATCACTGGTTCAACAATGCCTTCCCCATCACTTCTAAGTATCCCCCATCTTATACTCTTGTAGCAGCCTAATTTCCTTCATGGTCCTTAAAAATAATGACCTGTTACAATCAAGACATTCATCGGCATATTTGATCGTGTGAGGCTGAAGGGAGGTGGGACAGTGTAAGGAGTAATGGCACCGGGTAGAGTTTGCATCCTGGCTCCTGACCGTGCCTTCTGGTGGTGTGCAACCTCGGCCAAATCACCTTTTCCTTTTTCTGAACCTCATCATCCTCATCAATCCACAATGAAAACAGCAGAATCAATCACAGGTAGTTGCAAGGATTCATGGGGAAATATGTGTCATGGGCTGGGCACCATGCATTTAAGGTGCCCAGCCCATGACACATATTATTGTTGTTATTAATAGCTGTCACCGTTGCAAGACCATATGCACATTAATGGCTGGATTGTGTATATTGGCTCATGACTATGTCCCTAATAGCCAACACCAGGCCGGCCACTCAAATGTGTAGGATGTTGCACGCTGCCATTCATTAGGGCGTGGAGCTCAGTAAGGGGTGTGCCCATCTCAGCCGTCTCTCCATGGGTATTCGGTGCAGCCCCTTCTTTCTGTGGTCCTTCTGCCAAAAGCGAGCAGCGTTACAGTGTGTCATCGGCTTGCAGAGAGAGCTGGGTGCTCTCAGCAGTTAGCTCCATAAGGGTCATGGGGGATGAGATGGGGCCCTGGCCACACTTCTCTGCCAGTGGCATCGTGAACAAAAGGAAACGAAACCTTCAGTTTTGATGTCAGGGAATTCAGGGCAAAGAGGGAGGCGCCCGGGAGCGAGGAGAGACCAACTCACCCCTGTCTCGTAAATGGGGTTGTCAAACTCGGTCTCCACGGTGATCTGGCTGTAGGGGTGAGAGTACATCAGGGGCAGGCGGAGGTTGGAGTAATAACGACATCTGGAGAAGGGAGAATGAAAAAGAGAGCAGTTACTCTTCCCGGCCTGGGAGATACCTCACTATACCTGAGGGCAGCGATGTTCAACCTTTTCCATCTCATGGCACACAGACTAGTTATTAAAATTCTGTCACACACCAACAAATATATATTTTGCTGCTCTGATAAAAAATAGGTGTAATTTTGATTGATTTATGAAAAGAAAAATTGCCTATTTTTTTGTTCCAAAGTGACTTTAAAAAAATCAGGTACTTATACTTGTATATAAGGATTTCTGGTACCAAAATTAACCAATCAGACACAACCTTCTTATGCCACATGACTGATAAGATGCAACTCTATTATATGACCTGTATATTTATGGTTCAAGACAGGGCATTCTCAACGGAAGGCTATGGTTCTGTTGGCTGCTGTCACTTTTGTCATTTGACAATCTGAGGCACACCCGTTGAAAATCGCTGCCTGAGGGGAACAGCGAGTGAGACTTTCTGAGTACCGGCACCTCCACGAATGACAAGGGGGATGTGTGGAAACAGCTTCTTGTGGGTGAGAATCCGAGTGGGGTGAAAGCTGAGATCCTAATTGCCCTCAACTTCTAACCCAGTCGGTAATAACTGGAGCCTCAGTACCTCCCCTGACTGCAGAGGGCACGGAGCTTAATTTGTTTTCACCTGAAAAGTGACTGAAGTCCCTCTTTAATGCAAAGAACAACAATAACAATAATGAGCATTTATTGAGCACCTATGAATACTGTGTTGCGTCAGACCACCTAGTTAAAGGTGGTTCCTCCTCTGTTACCACTCCTTCCTTCATTGTGTTTATACAGTGTGTTATTATTTGTGTATTTCCCCTCTCTTCCTCCTAGACTGTAAGCTCCAGGAGGGCAGGGAAAATCTATATGAGGCAAATACCTGCCTCAGGGCCTTTGCACATGCTGTTTCTCTTATCCCAGGTTTGCAGAGCTTACCTTAGCATTGCTTTCAAGTCCTTACTCAAGTGTCATTTCACACAAATGCCATTGTCCCCAAACTAGAGGTGGAGATGCTGAGGTTCAGAGAGGTGAAATGCCCAGCCCCTCAGGACACGAATGGATGAGGGGATGGCAGCCCCCCAACTTGCTCCGGGGCTCCCTACCTGGTGATGTAAATGTAGGCTCCCCCCAGCAGTAAGGAGATGATGAGGACCGGGATGAAGATAGCCAGCGCCATAGTTCCTCCTTCCAGTGATGTCTCCGCTGCCGCTTCTGCTACTGAACACACAGCCAGTGAGGCCTTCATGTCACATACGCTCAGCCCACCCGGTCCCTGGCTCCCAGTCCCACACCTTCCCAAAGAACCGATGTCAGTGAGCCTTAGCCTCCGGAGAACCATCTTCAAGGGGGAAAGAGGCGGAGCCTAGAGGAGTTCGTGCTGGTTCTTTTGCAACTGAGTCCAGGCCCATCCTTGGGTGAGGTGGTCATGGGGCAACCGAGAATTACAGTCCTTGAACCCTGATCCTACCATGCCCGTTTTCCTTTGGTGGGGGGTACAGTTGAAAGCTGGTTAAAATCCAATTCAAGGGAGAAATCCCAAGTGTGCAAACCAGGAAGGCAGATTCACTGGCATTCCATGGAGTGGAGGGAGCTTGTTGTACCCAGACCGGAGGGTCCCTCCCAGGGGCTGCTTTATCAGCCCCTCCAGGAGAGGGCGCTGGGCAGCTGGGGCCGGTCTCAGTACTACACACCCGGTGGTACCCCGACGGTGAAGACCCAATTTTGATTCTCAGCGGCCATGGCTGCACATTCTCTCGGCCTCCAGGTTCCCTCTGCGCTGCTCCATGCCATGCCCAACAGAGCTCAGCTGCACATCAATCTAGAATTCATTACCCGCCACTCTATGGAGTGTGCAAAAGTGACCCTAACGCCCACAATAAACGCAGGAGCACAAAACAGTACATTAGCGCTGTAATCTCTCCGCAATCCCACACATCTGAGACATTCCCATGGTTCACTGGTTGGCAAAGGCAGAAAGGGGATGGCCTGAAAGACACCGGAGCCACGCAACATCCTCTATCCCTAGTGGTGTGACTAATAACACGCTGTTCTATCTCAGCCCCGGCTCCGCCTGCTCGGATTAAAACATCATCTGTTACTAGGAAGAGTGACTAATGCCATGCGATCCCCACAGCCCCAGGTTCTGAGGGAACCTCTTATTGTCAGGAAGTTAAATGGCTCCAAAAATAATAATGAAAGCGGCTCCTCTGGTTACAGCTTTAAAAACCAACAACCATCTGGCGCCATCGCCCAGGCGAGTGGATTGGGAATGCCGAATGGAGGTGACGCAGAATGCAGGATGGTTCAGGTAGGAGAGGGGCTGCAGAGGGAAGGAGCCACCACATGAAAACAAAAGCAAATCCTAGAGAGCTTTCAGCATCTGCTGCGCATTAATAAATCTTACTTGGAAACTCCTAGTAAAAGGAGAACAGGGAACAAGAGGGCACAGGGACAGATGCGTTGGGGAAGAGAAAGACTAAGGGAAAAACAGACCACAGACCACGCCCTGGACCGTTTCCCTCCTGAAACCAGGAGGATGCTCAGTGTAGGTGGGGAGGCATCATTGGATACAGTTTCTCCAAAGGTACCACGTGGTTGAAAAGTTTTACAAACAGCTGATGCCTTTGTCAGGCAGAGGGACTCTCAGACTTTCTACTCTCATGAGCACAACTGGCGTCAAATCGCTTCCAGATCTCAGTTAGGACCGTAAGATGTAAATCCAATGACTTTTTCTTTGCAATAGCATTTGTTTTGAAATGACCTCCGGCAGGTGAAGGAAGATGTTTTGTTATTGTTAGTTTTTTGTAAGCACCTGGCCCAGGATGGTTTAGGACCTGCCCTTGTTTTTTTGCTATGAGCTTGATTTATTGGGTGTTTTTCACTCTGGGACTCACCTTCTAACGCGTGTTCAAAGCTGTCTTGATTAACTGCAAGAGAAATAGAAAGCATTGGTCAATGTCAAGTGGATTCGCCGTGCATGTTATGGGGCCAAAAAGAATGGGAGCAAAAGCCCATGCCACGCTTTCCTGAAGTCAATGTTACGTTTTATTTATCCGGGGCTACTGCATTTGCTGAAAATTCCTGGATGCTTTCCCTTCCCCCTCCCTTCTACTCTCTCTCTCTAAAAAAAATATCAATGGAAAGAATATCCTTGGGTGAGGATTCACAACAACAACACAGTGCTAAGCAAGGAGAAAGCACTGTGTCACAGTTCCATTGGCAGTGGTGTTTTCCTTTCTCGGTGGTGAGAATAATGGTGGTGTCTTAGATTTGATGAAATGCAGCAGCTCAGCTTCTGGAGAAGATTCAGAACCCCTGCCAGCCCGTCCTGACATCTCCGGCTTCCCCCGTCCCGTGTGTCTCAAGTAGGTTTCCTCACCTTTACAAACAGGCAGCGGCCCATTCCAGTGGGATGGCTGTCCCAGGATGCATCGGATGGTCACTTCGCCCATGAGCTCGAAGCCCTCGTAGCACATGAAGGTGAGGGACTCTCCTGGCAGGTAGAGGCGCTTGTACAGGATCTGGTACCCGTTTTCTGGTAACCCTGGGTTGTCACATGCCAGGGACTCTTCCGCTGAAACGCAAGCCAAAAGGAGCTCTGGTGAGAGGATGCGAATCTCTGGGGACTCCTACTCAGAGCCAGCCCGATCTGGCTTTGGCCGGTCTCCGCAACATTCTCCATCTACATCCCCACCTTGCACTGAACTGGTTCCCATTCCCCAAACTCACCTTTTTGTCTCCTGCCTCTGGGCATGGGTTACACATGGGCACGGTAGACTGTACTGGGCTGTGGAATATGGGTTAAAATCTTGTTTCTGCTACTTACTAATTAGCTGTGTGACCTCCAGCAAGGGCCACGGACAGATTCTGAGCCTCAGTTTCCTCATCAGTAAAATGGGAATAATAATAGTAGTACCTATCTCATAGGGACTTGGAAGATGAAATAAGATTATGGTGTAAAGTCCTCTTGGCATGTCCTAGATATTCTATAAATGAAGGATGGTGACGTTAAGTTATAAAGCATTCCTTCTGCTTCTCAACTCACACCTTAACTGCCCACCCAGGCTGGATCAGTCTTGTCTTTCAATTCTCATTCCTCATTTCTCCACCTCCAGGAAGTCTTCCTGGATGCCTCCTACCCCTAATTCAGTCACTAGTCTTTCCAGTTCTTCTTCCACCCCAGCAGTATTTATTTAATCATTGTACATCAGTTTCCCTCACTGTTAAGGCTTGCTTGAAGCTCAGGGCCTGGTATACAGAAGGAGCATCATAAATGACCCCAACCTATATAGTAGGAGCCTCATAAATAACCTCTGTGGGTACTGACTTCTCAGAGCCTCAATTTCCTCATCTGTAAAATGGGCCATGTCAGAGGGTTGCTAGGAGGATTAAATGAGCACATGCATATAGGTGAGCAGCACAGTGAGCACCCAATAAACACTGGCTATTTGTGTGGCCTTTACAATTTCTGTTGTCTTTTCATACCAAGTGTCTTTTCATACTATTGTTTACTTAATGTTTCTTATTTCTGTTGATTTGCTTTTCCATTGAAATTGTGCAATACAATTTAGCCTCACCTCTATTTCTATAATCACAGATTTCAAATGTCAGTTTCCATCTTAACAAAACAAAACACCAGAGAGTTAATCTGGGCACCGCCTCAAGCCACGTTGGTATCACCAGGGGTGTATATAACACTCCTTGGGAAATGCAGCCCAATGCACTGCACTTTATAGCTCATGAACCCCCAGAGTCTAGAACCCACTCATTTGGAGGGAGGGTCCAGCAGACAGTACTCTGCCCCTCTGTGCCAGGTTTGTGCCAGGAGAGGGGTATAGAGTGGAGAACTAGGAAAGTGTGGTTTCCATTTGCCCAGAAGTCAGTCTAGTGCAGTGATGGCGAACCTTTTGAGCTCGGCGTGTCAGCATTTTGAAAAACCCTAACTTAACTCTGGTGCCGTGTCACATATAGAATTTTTTTGATGTTTTTGATATTTGCAACCATAGTAAAACAAAGATTTATATTTTTGATATTTATTTTATATATTTAAATGCCATTTAACAAAGAAAAATCAACCAAAAAAATGAGTTCGCGTGTCACCTCTGACACGTGTGTCATAGGTTCGCCATCACTGGTCTAGTGGGTGAGAGAGAAGGCTGCTCAGGTGACTGCAACCCAGTGCAGCAACAGCTGTGATGGGAAGCACAGAGGACAAACCTCGCCTGACCCGGTCACGGTCACGGGTGGGGAGGTCAGGAGTTTCCAGAGGAAACCTGGAAACCAGTGCTCGGCTGGGAAAGTGAGGGCTCAGGCTGGGGATGGGGGATGGGAGGTGAGATGAGATGCCGGTCTGATTCCAGGCTGCTTCCCTCCCTCCTGGGTGGAGGGGAAGTGAGGATCCTTATGTGGCAAATGCGTGTATTACCTGCAATGTAGCCAAGTGGCCATCAGGTGGCAATGGTAACGCAGAACAACTTCCCCACAACCTTTCCCTTCATAAATTAACAGATCAGTGAGGAGAACAAATATTTATTGAGCACCTCTTACTAGTACAATGATGAATAAGATAGATGCGGCCCCTGCCTTCATGAAACTTAACAGTCAGGTATCCCACAAATATTTTCTGGATGCCAACCCCGTGCCAGGACTGTCCTGTCCCTGGGGAGATAGTAAATGACAGAGGATAAACTCATAGACTTCAATGTAAAGGAGGATGTTGCCAGCAGGTTTAGGGAGATGAGGGGAGGCGTCCTCACCTGCTCTCACCTGGCCGCACTACAACCCCCTAGATTCAGTGCCGGGGCTCCACCCCTCAGGCATCTTGGGGGCAGTACATCGATGGGAGCTTTTACTAGAGTCACAGTCTGGCCACATGGGTTCTGCCAGGGCCTCCTGGGGAATCCCTAAGTGCTTCTCCGGAGAGCCACCCATAAAACCCTCACTGAATTTGTCATATCATCACTCTAGGTAGCGTGGTTTATGTCTTCTGGATGGGAGCCTGAGGAGTCATTTACCACGCCACCGTCAATAAAGGCCACATTAGTATCACTAACAATAACGACGATGGTAATAGTAACACATACTATTGAGCACGAGGGATACAAGAATTAATGGCTACAATCCCAGCAAGTGAGTTATGTGTTTGCTTCTCTGAATATCTGAACGGATCATTTCAATAGGCTACAGCAAGTGCTGTGATAGCTGAACTGTAGGTGCCATGAGAACTCAGAGGAGAGAAACAGGACCTAGTCTAGGCAGTCAGGGAGGTCTCCCTGGAGGAGGTGCTGTTTATCCATTGCTATTTTCTTCATAGATTTGTTTTCCTCCGCTCATCTCCAATAGACCCCAGGCTTCATGAGAGCATGGATCATGTCTGTTTACCCACTGCTCTATTTTCAGGGCCCGACCACCACCATGGTTCCCAAACTGTGCACCAAGGTGCCCTGGGGTGCCACCACGAACTCACAGAGATGCTGTGAGATTTTGTAAAATTTTGAGGAAGACACAGTGACATCTCTCAGACCCTCGGGAACTACTAGCTCCAGGAAGTTCCCAGTTTCAGCACGAGACAGAGCTACGTTCCCTTTACTGATGCCTCATCTTTGCAAAGCTGGCTGTTCCGTGGTTGCTGTGCTAAGAGGCAAGAACTGTGACAAATCCACATGGAACAGGAAATGACCATGGCAGAGTCTAGCCTGATGCTGAGGTTTGAGAAGTTTGGTGGAGCCCCGCAGGCACATGTATCCCTGGAGTAGTAACTGTAGTTATTTAAGAATGAAATAAAAATATAATCTTTCAACTTATGTGTGTTACTTTCTCAAAAAACGACTAAGTTATCCCGATATAGCTAATTATTAAGGTGTTTGGACCAAACTACTTAACAAACAGGAGTATTAGGTATTTTTGGCCTGGAAAGTCAATGAAAACACTTCTGAGACACCAAGGGTATCTTGAATTGAGAAAGTTTAGGAAACTCCCTCCTAGCATTAGCCTGCATATTGAATGACTAAATGAGTTACTTCCAACAACCCTGCCTGGCCCTAGCCGGCTTTACTGATGCCTCATCTTTGCAAAGCTGGCTGTTCCATGGTTGCTGTCCTAAGAGACAAGAACTGTGACAAATACACATGGAACAGGAAATGACCATGGCAGAGTCCAGCCTGATGCTGAGGTTTGAGAAGTTCGGTGGAGCCCCGCAGGCACATGTATCCCTGGAGTAGTAACTAGTTATTTAAGAGTGAAATAAAAATATAATCTTTCAACTTATGTGTTAGTTTCTCTAAAAACTACTAAGTTACCCCAATATAGCTAATTATTAAGATGTTTGTAGCAAACTACTTATCAAACAGAATTATTAGGTATTTTTGGCCTGGAAATTCCATGAAAGAATTCCTGAGACACCAAGGGTATCTTGAGTTGAGAAAGTTTAGGAAACACTCTCCTAGCATCAGGCTGCATATTGAATGGCTAAATGAGTTGCTTCCAACAACCCTGCCTGGTAGGGAGTATTATTTCCTTTTTCAGACCCTCTCTGAAATCAATAAAAATATATTAAAAAAACATTAAAACAAACAAACAAACAAACAAAAACCCTGCCTGGCAGGGAGTATTATTTCCTTTTCAGTTCTCAGATGAGAGCTCTGAGGCCCAGAGAGGGCAAGCTACCTGTCCAAGGTCACCCAGCAGAGCTGGGAGTGTGTTGACTGCGAATCCCAGACTCTTTCCCCTACCAATGCCTGACCCCTACCAGTGCCTGACCTGTCTGTTCTCGAAGTGTCTTGGGGTAAATGGACTAGGAAAGAACATGGCTTTGAGTCCCAGCGACCCTGAACAGAAGCTGGAGGAGCAGAGCTTATACAGTTTACTGTCTGTATCAGCAGCTTGTTGGTGGAAGATCTTTGTCAACAATCAAGCACTGGAACTTCACCCAGAAGCTGGCACTGAAGTGATTGTGGGGCGGGAGAGGGGGAGATGATAATGTTTTGGGGGTTCATCAGGCTTGAATGGGAATCCTAGGATCTCCCCTTCCCTGCTGTGTGAGCTCAGGAAAGCTACCCACCCTCCTGGGCCTCCTTTCCTGCTTTTAAGTGAACACACATAGCATTCATGCAGTTTTCTGAGGTTTAAAAGCAGCTTGTTGGTGGAAGATCTTTGTCAACAATCAAGAACAGGAACTTCGCCCAGAAGCTGGCACTGCAGTGATGGGGAGGGGGGGAGATGATAATGCTTGGGGGTTCATCAGGCTTGAATGGGAATCCTAAGATCTCCCCTTCCCTGCTGTGTGGCCTCAGGAAAGCTACTCACCCTCTCTGGGCCTCCTTTCCTGCTTTTAAGTGGACACACGTAGCATTCATGCAGTTTTATGAGGTTTAATCGTGTTCATGTTGGGGAAGGACACAGCATGGCGAAGGTGCCCGTCGGATCGGGGCTGTTCTTTCGTTCAGTAGAGGAAACACCTTAAAGCTGTTTTGTGTCTGACAACCTCATCCTTAAAAATGCCCTGAGAACCCCGACGGTAACCCCCCTCTCGCTCCAGGCACCTCGCTGCAAGAATGGGACCATCCTCTTACTTCACACGCCATCTCCCACCAGCCTCGCCTGCCTGTAACGTCGTGGGAACCACGTGGTTACTTTTTAGGCTTCAGGGAGGATCGAGAGTCTCCTGCCACCCACTTGGTGCGTGAACTCACTAGCATGGGTATCGCGGAAGCTGTCTTCACTGAGCCTGCAGCTCCGGCGCTGAGGTTTCAGAGAAAGGCGCCCCGAAACGAGGGAGACACGCTTCTCGGGAACCCAGCAGCCACGGCGGCCCAGAGGGCCTTTGGAGACTGTCCTCATTAGCGGAGTGCCGTTTCTTTCTTTATAAAAAGGGTATCGCCTTCCAGGGTTTTACAATAAGCTTTTATTTTTAGCTGTTCGTGTCTGGGTCTCTGCAGCTTCAATTCCCCACCCTCCCAAGTCGCCAGGAGGAAACGGGAAGGGAACGTGCTTCCCAGGCTGAGCCTCCTGGACCACCGCTCTCCACCTCCCCTGCCTGGTGAGAACAGACCCTCCAGTTTCAGAGTGACCTGGGAAGCCTTTTTTGAGTTTTTACGGTCAGGAAACCCAAAAAGGTGGTGTTGTTTTTTTAAACCAAACATTTGCTTCGGTGGCTCCACGTAGACGAGGCCAAATAGAGCTCAAATCCACCCCATTCAGTCCCTGCGGACCGTCTGGGTTAACTGGCTGTGTGACCTGCGGCAATGAGATCACCTCTCTGGACCTTCTGAAACGGAGCCAGTGATGCCATGCTGACCAGGCCACTGGGGGAGCAGAGAGGGGCCTCTGGCAAAGGACTGAGCGCAGTGCCTGGCACATTGACCGTGAATGTCACAGCACCCCTGCGTTCAGTGCGTGCTAGCTCTGTGATCGTCATAATAACAAGCACTCCCAAAGGGGGGGTGCCTTCCCTGAGCAACCCAGTCAGTGTGCCTCCGTGACTAAGAGGCAGCGACATGGAGTTTTTGTTAAGTCAATAAACAGGACTCACAGACACAGTGGGGCAGGCGGGACGTCCAGATGGGGGTGCCGGTCTCGCGGCTGTAGCAGGTCAGAAGCGAGCTCCCCTCCAGCACGAAGCCGGGCTCGCACGTGTACTGGATGGTGGTGCCCACCAGCAGCACAGGGTCCGAAATCAAGCGGGTCGAGTGGTCCACTTCCCCGGGGTCGGTGCAGTACATAACTGCGCGAGACGAAAGCAGACCAGGTGCGCGTTAGGGCTCTCGGTGGCCACGGATGAATGACAGAAGGATCTAGAAAGGTTCCTAACTTAAGCTCCTTTCCCGCTGGGAAGATAATGCACCTCGGGCGCATCAAAGGTGGCTGGAGACTAGGCCGGGATGAAAGAGATTTGGACGTCAACCCACTTTCAGGAATTTGCCCAAAGATACGTTTGCTTTGCATCAGGGCCCAAGGACCTATGTACGATATACAACCTTGTACACCTCTGAACGTAGCCCCTCCCTCTGCTACCAGGAGTATTTCCCTTTCTACCCCTTTTCAAGACACCAGATTTAGTTGCCAGCAGACATGGCTGGCCCCACGCCTGAGGGGACAGGCAGGAGGAACCAGGAGACTGGGGCAGATGCTGTGTGGATGAGGTCAGCCACCTACTATAGGGGTTCGAACTGGGACTCCAAGGTCCAGCTTAACTTGTTTTGCTTGGCTACTACCGGATTTTTAAAGACCTGAATTTGAATGATGTGTTTACACAGGCTGCATACATTCCCCTTCACCACAGTCCATACCACCCCCTATTGTCTGACATGAGTCCGTGTCACTCATTTACTTTCCCTGCCTGGCTTCTGAGGGTACCTGAGTCTGAGATCCCTGCCTACAGAGTGACATCTGTGAGCAGCACCAATGAGTTGGTGGAGTTGAAGGGAGGCCAGATTCCACATTAAATAATGCCACTGCATCCATGACAAACCAAAAAACCAAAACAAAAACAGAAAGAAACCAGCGAGGACTCACCACCCCCTGACCTAGAAGAAAACAGGACGATGCTTACTTTTCTCACAAAACGGGGGATCACTGCTCCAGCTGAGGTCCCACTGGCAGGTGAGGGTGTCGCTCCCCACGATGTCGTAGCCGGGGTCACACTGGTAGGTGATCCTGGCTCCCCTCACGAGCTCCGTATGCGAAGTGGTTTTCCAGCCGTTCTGGATTTCGGGCAGATCGGAGCAGGAGTCGTTCCTTGACACCTCTTTAAAACAAAGACGTCATCCTCACCTTCTGCTTTACGAATGTCAGAGGAAAAACACTTCCCAAACCCGAGAACAGTAAGAACGTTTAACCGTGAGATTTTACAATGACCTCTTCCTGTGGGTCCCCGAACTTACTCAACGTTCTCTTGGTTTGATAAAGTTACTTTAGTATCAGACAGAATCCTAACTCTGCTACTTACTAGCTGTGGGACTGGGCATGATCACTTCTCTTTGTGTCTCATGCCAACAATGGCGTTGACTTGCCAGCCACAGCAGAGAGCCACTTTGGAAGAGGAGCCGCCAGCCACAGTCGAGCCTTCAGATGACCACAGCCCCGGTTGACATCTTGATTACAGCCTCATGACAGACTCTGAGCCCAAACCACCCAACATTAACTCCTGAATTCATGACCCGCAGAAACGGTGACATAATAAATATTTATTGCTAATTTTGGGAGGTAATTTGTTACACGGCAATAGGTAGCTAATACACTCAGCCTCATCCTAAGAATGTCTGTAAATCCATGGGTTTGATGGATTAGGTGATAAATATTTTTGTAATACAGGTGAAGATCAATACTTAACTATCAAAATAAAAAAGAATTATCAGTGCATTCTTCAAATCACGCTGCATATCATGGGTGCATATTATCAAAGGCTACATGCAGCTTATTATCACAGACATTTCCTCTGGCATAATTTTGTTCTTCTTCAGCAAACTCTCATTACTAAGGTAGTCATCCAAAGTCCATTGTTACTCTTCTTGCTTCAAAGTGCCCACTGCCCAGATTGTGAGCAAGAGCTAATTGTTCTGTATAATTAATTTGCAGTTCTTAAGTGCTTCTGGGGAGAGCAAAGCCCTTGCACTGTCTGCGGGAAAGTCATGCGGAGAAACAAGCGATGGCTTTTCCTGGGGTTTCATCAGGGTTTTATTTGGGGAAGGGAGAGCTCATGGCTGTCAGCAAGAAGGAGGGGGAGGGAGAGGGCATCTAGGACTGCTTGGTGGGGAACAGGGGCCTCTATTTTTAGGTCTTTGAAGAATCAGCCAAGCCCTGGATTTAGGACGCAGCTGCAAATGCTGAAATTCTGGTTGAAAGGGGTGAGATGGGGCAAATACTGGATACGTGGTCTGCCTTGTGCCAAATGCTTTGCTGAGAAAGGTTTGCTTGTCTGACTGTTTTGATGTGAGCCAACAGGACTGCACACTCCTGTGAGAACCCTGTCTCCTTTGTGGCATTCGTCACATTTGTGATTCCTCAGCTGTGGCCATCATGTAGCAGAGACTTGACTGAAATCATGGCCCCACTGTTGACACATTCAGTGGCCTTCACTAGGTCACGTAGCCTTCCTCTTCCTCAGTCCCTAGACTCCACCCCCAGAGACCCTGATTCAGGAATCTGCATATTCACCAAACACCCTAGGTGGAGGTTCTAGAATGATCTGTCCCGATGGGCCCCTTTCTCTGCTAAGAATGAGAAAACCGGCTTAGTTGTTGGAGGGCTTCCCTTCTAGTCCTCTTTATTTCTTTTAGAAGCTGTGTGACGCCAGTCACATCAATACACATCTCTGAACTTCATTGTCCTCAATCCTAGAGTGGCAACACAAATCACGACCCTGTCTGTCCCTAAGGGCAATGTGAATGCTAATCAATGTGTAGGGTATGACAGGAACACGAAGATGACTTATATGGAGTCATTCATTTGTTTGACTAAGATTTTTGTGAGCACCTACCATATGCCAAGCACCAGGAAAACAGGGATCTGAAGTCATGTTTCTAGTGTTCATGGTCAAGGTCAACACCATCATCTAACTTTTGGGCAAAAGAAATACCCAAATGCACTGAATATATGCCACCATTGACTATCTTATACTCATGACAGACATCACTAATCAATCACAGCAATCTTTCATTGGATCCAGCGGAAACCCTCCAGTCCTCAACACAGCACTCCAGGGAGCCACTCACTTTCTTTTGATTGGAGTTGACCTACAATATAGAGCCCATTTATTATCCTAAGATTAGTGACCAACATCTCTTTGAAAAACACTGCTTACTCATCTCCGCTTTTTTATTTATTCCCTTCCCTCCCATGCACTTGGCCAAAGACACTAGCAAAGCACAAGAAGCAATGATGAGAATGGGTATTTGCTTCTGTTTGTGCAAAGGAGGCCAGAACCATGTAAGCCCAGAGTGTTCCTGTGGAAGGTTCTGGCAGCTGCCACAGTAGGTAAGCCGTGACCAGCTCCCAGAGCTGGGGGCTAGGCCTTGCGATCAGTCTAGGAGCTTCAGAATTCTCTACATGATCACAGAAACCCCTGGCCCTTCCGTCTGATTCCTCTACTGAATGGGAATCGCATCCGTGTCTGGTTAAATCTAGACCTATGATAGCAAATACCTAGCCCATGCCATGGCAGACGTCACTAAGCAACCGTGCCATTCTTCCCCACTGACGTCCGGCATGACCTCGGAATTCTTTCCAACATGGTCTTCAGCACTGGTGGTCACCAGCAATTGATTGGCATCAGAATGGAATACGGAGGCTCACTTGCCTTCCCTGTAAAATTAACTGGGTGTTGGCCCTAACCAGTTTGGCTCAGTGGATAGAGCGTCGGCCTGCGGACTGAAAGGTCCCGGGTTCGATTCCAGTCAAGGGCATGTACCTTGGTTGCAGGCACATCCACGGTAGGGAGTGTGCAGGAGGCAGTTGGTCAATGTTTCTCTCCCATCGATGTTTCTAACTCTCTATCCCTCTCCCTTCCTCTCTGTAACAAACCAATAAAATATATTAAAAAAATAAATTAACTGGGTGTTTAACAGAAAGAAGAGCAAAGGGAACTCTTCTCTCTTTTCTGTGTGTCACCCACATTCTCCAGGCTGCCTACCCCCGGGACATGGTCTCTGGAGCTCCGCGCTTGCTTCTCCACAGCATCAGCACACGGTCCCGACACTGCCTATGAACAGACCCCCTCTTGCATTTTCACTTGAAGACCATGCATTTGAAGATGGAATAAAATGAGATGGAGAAGAGTGCTTGCCAACGTCAAACTGCCACACAAGTCTAAGTTTCAGCTTCAGTTAACACGAGCGCCGCCTCCTCAAGATGTTGCCAAATGAGCATGGGCCAGACGCTCGGGTAACCTTGGGGAGCTGGGATCGAGTCAGCTTTCTGCTGCCGAGCTGGATGCAGGTCTGGAAGACTGACTCAGGCACCAGAGAAGAAAGAAGAGCAAAGCTATGACCTCATCTTCTGGCGGGGAAGGGGGAACAGCCTAAGGATAGATTGAAGCCAAGTCGCCAGACACTCTCCCTCCAAAGGCAGCTGACTCAGGAGGGCACCTATGCCCAGGGCACCCCCCACCAAAGAGTGGGACAAGCATGGGAAGTAGCAAGAATAACACAACATATGTAGCAGCACAATCCAGGGTAAAAAGGCCCCCGAGAAACTTAAGAAAGAAGATCAATATTTGTGTTTGCCGCTCTGACGGCTGCCTATAGAGCAGGCAGGGATGAGAAGTGTCCACCAGCTGGAAATAAGAAAAGGGACTCATTGCCCCGGCCGGTGTGGCTCAGTTGGTTGAGCGCAGTCCCGTGCACCAATAGGTCGCCTAAGGACTCTTCTTCCAATGGAGACAGCCCTTTCTCCCACCTCCCATACTTTGGAACCAATAGATGCAGGTGATGTTTATCTTGATCCTTAGCGTGGCTTCCAAACCATTTATCTCCCCCCATCTTTCAAAAACATTGCTAAGTCCAAGCGAAGTTCAGACTTGACCAGCCAATACCTCTTACTGTTTTGTCCACCCACACCCTTCCCTCCTCACTCCCCAGCTGTAATGCCCCCTTATTCATTATTGGCTCCATCACCCTCCCCTGCTCAGCCTCTGAACACTGGAGGGTCCCAAGCTCCCTCCTGGACCCTGTCCTCTTCTCTATCTAGACTCACTCCCTGTGCGACCTTATCCAGTCCCATGCTTTTAAACAATGCCTGTCTATACTTCACTGACTCCCACGTTCTACCTCCAACCTTGAACTCTCTGTTCAAGGTTAGATAATCTGGGTTGAACAACCTTCAACTCCAGATTATCTAACGCCCCACATGAAGCCTCCTCAAGTTATGAGGCTTGATCTGCGAAGTCCTGATATCAACCGTGTGAAGTAGAAATCACTATTTCCATTTCATAGACAACAAAAAGGAGGCTCAGAGAGGTGAAGTGACTTGCCCAAGGTCACAAAGCCATTGGCAACAGTGCTAAGACTCAAACCCTGGTCCTTCTGACTCAGGTCTTAAAAACTACATATATTTACTGTGCCTATATATTAAAAGCCCTATGAAACACAAAATCCCCCTGAGAAAGATCTAGCTACAGGAAATCATCTTAACTGGTATCTAAATACAGTGAAAAACATTGACCAGAGGAGACACCTACCCACATAGTTCATGATGAATCCCTGGCCCTTCCCGAAGATGAGGCCGGCGGGGTCCGAGTGGAACTGGATGGTCAGGTCCGGCGTGGACGAGTACAGCTTCTGGGGGCCGCTGCTTCCCAGGTACTGCCCCAGGATGTGGGGCATGACCTCGTCACCGTCGTAGATGGTCAGGATGTCGCTGTTGCTCAGGTTCAGGCTGAGGGCCAGAGAGAAGGGGGTGTGGCGAAGCAAAGTTAGGGGCGTTCAACAAGCTTTTGATTTATTTTTTTCAGGCAACACACACTTTCTTGAGCCATACAAGGTGTCAGGCGCCAGGCTAGGAACTGGGGTTGAGGTGGGCATGGACTCCCAATGTGGTCAGGACATGCCGATCCTCCTACAAGCCTGGCCCAGGGAGAGAGGTCATGGCTCCTGAAGGAATTTGCCTGGAGGTCAGCACATGTGGGTGTGTGTATAGACACGGGAACCTGGGGAGATCTACGGGAGTCAGCCCATGAAGAGCTTAGAGAGCCAAGTGTAGGCGTTAGGGTGTCATCGTGCTGGGAAGGGGGGATGGTGAAGGGTTTTTATCAGGCGTCTCCTGACTGAGCTATCCACCGCCAGAGGAGAGGGGTGGTCCAGGAAAGGGCCCCGAGTGAAGTTTCTGCAACTCATGCAGACTGACACCAGCCCTCCCCGCTGACGGCTTCATCCAACTTGGGGTGCTTGCTGCCGATCTTGGAGTGGGGAGAAGGGGTGGAAACCATTCATTTGGTGCTTCAGTTAGTAAGAACAAAACAGAAATGCGAGGCACACCGCTGAAGATTTACCCCCAGAGGGCAGGGTTGTGTTTTATTCACCGCCACCTCTTCCACGGCACCTCCCACAACTCTTCAGGTATAGCTTCCCTAGGGGTGGCGTGGGGAGACTCACGGCCCTGGGATCTCTACCAGCTTCCCCTGCTCCACCCGAAAAACACCCTCTCCCCACAAAAGCCCCTGTGGAGCTTAGCACCCGGTGCTCCATGGCTCCGGGCCACGCCTGCACGAGGCCAGAGCTCCCTGATGCCGGGGAACACGTCTGCCCCACTCAGCACTGTCCCCCCGGTTCTCAGGGTGATGCCGAGGGTGTGTCGGATGAATCAGCACCAGCCCAGGGTGGATGTCCAGGTCTCAGCCTCAGCTCCAGGGTGGACTGTGGCTCTGACTCCATCTCTGCTGGGGCCTGGTCCCCAAACAGATTCTTAGCTGTCAGCCTTGGGAGTGGGACCCCTCTCCTCCTGGCTGCTTTCAACACTTGCTCCCAGGGGTTAATTCAAAAGCCCTAAGCGATTGGAGCTGCCCCGAAGGATTTCTGTCCCGCCCACCTCCTGGGCCCCTCTTGCCTCCATACAATCTCATTCTTCTCAGATGTGAAGGTCACCGGAATCAAGCCTGATGCCATGACGCCTCTACATGCCTGATAAGCCATTCCAGCGCCAACCCTGGCCTTGAGCAGCGGGGCTCTGGCTTCCTCTCTCCCCTCACCCTGACTCTGCTCTAGGTACACCCTCTGGTCCCCTCCGGAGCATGAGCTGCTGTTTGTGGGCTGCTGTCCTGTGCTTCCACTTCTGACATCCTCTTATACCTCCTCCCTGTTCCAGGGCAGTGAAATCACTGGTCCCATTGGATATTTGAGGAAAGATCTCCCGAGACCCCATTTAGCTTTTGAATAACAAGAATGCTGCCTCCGGATTATCCAGCACTCAAACAACAACACCACCACAAACGAAGACATACGATCGTCCCATTTTACAGATAATAAAACTGAGGCTCAACTGGGAGAAACCACTTGCCCAAGGTCACACACAAATAAGACTTAGGATTCAAACCTAGGTCTCTCAGATGCCAAAGCCTGAGATACAAACCATTATTTTATAGGATGTTTTGTGAAAGCCACCGATACATCTCCAATAAGTGTGCAGGGTTCAGTCTTATTATCAGAAGATGTGAATAAAAATTACAACTAAAACCTGCAAGATGGAAACCCCATCTGACCGCCCCCACACCCCCATCCTGACACGTCCTTTGCTCTTATGACATCATTGCTAAAAGTTTATTTGATTAAACCTGTGATTTCCAACACTTTCTCTCCCACTACGGCAATATTTCCTCTCTCTACAGACTCCCTGTTCTACAAAGATTTTTGTCCCCGACATGTTATGTATCTCCTGGTAACAATTAAATTTGTTTTGTTTTGTTGCCATTATTGATCCTGTATAACAGAGGATGTAATAAAATCAGTGCTAAACTGGTTATTTAGTCTGGCTGGCTTTATTTCGGTAGATATGAGGTTTCTCTAATGGTTTTTGAAATATTTAAAGAGTCTGGGAAGAACACATGAGCAACTAGTTCTAGTGGTTGCCTGGAGGGAGGGGACCGGGAGAGGGGGTGTTTGCTGGGGAAAAGTGGGAAACAATTTTCACAGCAGACCCTTTTGTCCCTTTGGGCTTTAAATCATGTGCATGTATTACTTCTTCAGAAACAGATAAAAAGAGCCTGAGGGACCCTCATTATTTTTTTCCACTAGGGTCTAGACAGCCAGAGAGGTGAGGATAGAATGCAAATGTGAATCTGACAGAGTAGCAAGCTTTTTGCTGGTGGAGAAATTCCTGTTTTGGCCAATAGAGGGCAGTGTTGCCTAAGCTTGGTATGGGGCGTGGTGGGGGTGAGGGAGGGGAGGGCGTGGAAGTGGTAGGTGGGCTTTGTAACTGTGGAGCTGGAGTTAATATTCCACAGAAGGCGTAGGAAGAAATGATGACCAAGCCACCTTGCTTTTCTTTATTTCTTTCTAAATCAACGTCTGACCTTTGCCTGGAAATCTTGCCTTTAAAGGCTTTCCCCGGTGATATTCACAAGATGATGTTAGCTAAGCAAACATATTGGACAACGTCTGATGTCTATGCACTTATTTGAATGTGAATTAGAAAAAATATATAAATATACAGTTTGCACTTCCAACTTCTAATTTCACGGACATCATTTTGCTTAGAGTAAGCAGAGTGAAAAAGGCAAGCCAATTTATGAGCAGTTTAAGGGGGGAAGAAAAGGAGTGGCTGGTGATAGAAAGTGGACTGCGGAAACCGCGAAAATTAGCTCAAGGAATAAAGTGTGGTTGCTCGGCTTTTTAGGATGGCCGGGAGGCCCACAGTCGGCCCTCCCCCTGCCATTTCTGCTGTTTCAACATCTTTGTACTGCAGGCCTTTTGTATCCCCTAGACCTGCCTTAGCCTATGCTGCTCCCTCTACCTGGAATGCCCCTCCTCACCTCTCTGCTTGACATTTTACTAATTCCTTAAGGTCCTGCTATGCTCCCCACCCACTCGACATTTACAGCGATATAACCAGCCAAGGTCTCCATAGGCTTCCTACAGGCCGGGAGCTGTTCTAAGCACCAATTTCATTTTACCATCAGACAAACACTGTGAGTACCGCTGTTGCCACCCATTTCGCAGATAAGCAAACCGAGGCACCCAGAGGTGAAGAAACATTCTGAAGCTTACAGAGCCGGTCAACCAGGAGAGCCAGAATCCAAACCTCCGAAGTCAAAGGCAGAACCCGGGGCACCTTTCCCAGGGCTGCGAGCTCCCTGAGGGGACGTGCTCTTGGTCCGCATGTCCCTGAAACCCAGCACAAGGCTCTGCACAGGTGAAATAAATGTCGTTTACATGAATGAATGATGGTGAATTTATCTCCATTTCCCAGATGAGCAAACTGAGGCTCGGAGGGGTTATTAAATGACTTTCCTAAGAAAATAGCATCTTGCAAGTAAGGCAGGATCCCTACGGGACAGCAGAGATGGTGATGAAACAGACCACAGGATTTAAATAAGGGGAAAAAGAGGACCGAAGTCTATAGATGCAGTTGGAGGTACGATCAAACTTAGATCAAACATGTTTTTCTGGAAGGCCAGAAAACTAGTCCTGTTTAGAGTTCCTTTGTGTCCATGTCTGATCAGATCCCCCCAACCACATAGCAAGGTGGTCAGAGAAAAGGTTAGGGATCCCATTTGACAGAGGGGTCAACTGAGCCCAGACAGGCCCCGATCCCAAGGCCTCAGCTCCTTCGTGATGCCCCACAGCCAGCACCAGATGCTGCTCAGCATGTGGGATTGCTGAGGGCCCTTCGGCCCAGTGCTAATTTGGTTTCCATTTAATTTGATAACATGGCAGACACCACAAGAAAGCATGCGGACTCCAGGGAGGGCACGAAAAACCAATCTCTTTGGCTCCCTAAAAGGACAGCTGAAAGCATAAAAAATGAGCAGTTTTCTTATTTGCTTCTGTGTTCCTCCCCTTGTCCTCATCTTCCTCCCTCCCTTCCTCTCTCCCCCAACATTCACCAAGTGCTTGTCCAGGCCGACTCGGAGCCCCGTCCCCGTCCAGTGGTTCTCAGTCCTGGCTGCAGCTGAGCATCGCGGGGAGATTTAAAAACTCAGATGATGCCCAGGCTGCACCCCGGACTAATGAGGCCCTCAGCCTCTCCGGGGGTGGGGCCCTGGCGCCTGCGATCTTCAAGATCCAGGAGGCAGCCAGGACTGAAAGCGGCTGCTCTGCGGTTTCCGTGGCGATGAGACACCGTCTCTGTTTCCTAGTCTTTTTTTCTTTCTTGTTTTTCCTTTCTTTCCACTTTTCTCCCCTTTTCAATTAATTCTCCTCTTCTGCCCAAAAGGAAAGAGAAGAGCCTGCCCCCCACCACCCCCTCGCTGGGCATGCTTTCCTCTGGGGTCACCCCACAGGCTGAGCTGCTCCCCATTTCCACATCCCCAGACTGAGCCATCTCTGAACAGGGCGGGCAAAGCTTCATCAGGGCCAATGACATGACACCCCACACCCAGCACTGCAGACCTGGGACACCCAACAGCTCTGGGCTGCTTCGCCTACTAAAATCGGTCCCTAGTCACCCTGGTGTTTTGGCTCCGTCTCAAGAAACTGCTAAAAGAACGGGCTCTGGATAAAAATCCTAGACGGCCTGGTTTGTAGCTGGGTGACCTTGAAAAAGTAGCTGAACATCTCTGAGCCGCAGTATCCTCGCTTGTAAAACGGGGGTAATGTTATCGAGAGCTGTAAGTAACATAATCAGTGCCAGGAGTTCAATTAAAAGGGCATCTTTCTGCTTAAAAATATGGATAATGAACCACACGGTCTGCTAAGAGGTGAATGGGTTTGGCCACAAAATCT